AAAAGAAGAAGAAGAAGAAGAAGAAGAAGAAGAAGAAGAAGAAGAAGAAGAAGAAGAAGAAGAAGAAGGAGGAGGAAGCTCCTTCATATAGCTGGTAAAAAGGGGAAATCTTTTCGAGAAAGGAAAGGCTGGTTTACTTCCATTTCGGCATGCTAGACTCGCTCTGCTGCGGGAGGGGAGAGCTGGAGGTTTGGAAGGGCCGTTCATTTCGTGTAGGTGAGGAATCGTAGCGCACTCCCCCTTCCCCCGTTGTTGTTGTACTGTATCGCTTACAGGAAGATGTCGTCTACAGGCGATGATGCAGTGCACACGTGCCGTCGAGGCGGGATGATCGATGGCGATACCGGTACGTACGTGCAAAGCCCAGCGGCGTCTCCGTTCCCCTGATACGGATCTGGAAACGAGGCGGAGAGATGAAAGACGAAAGAGGTAGACGGGGAGTCTTTCCTTTGCCCTGTTGCGGCGGTCGGGAAGATAGCTAGACTAGATGGGATGGGATGAGAGGGGATGGGATGTTTTTTTTTTTTCGCCTCAGCCTTGGACGGATCGGGTATGAGCGAGGAGGAGATTGGTTTGGTGTAGGGAAACGTTATGTGTAGGGAAACGTTGTGTTTAGAGAAACGTTACGTGTAGAGAAACGTTACGTGTAGAGAAACAGGAAAGGTAGTCCCGCAAGTAAGTCTCGCGTATCCGAGAACTGCGTAGCTGTATTCGCATAGCGGTTATCAAATCCGAAAGGGGGGTGCGTGAGGGGGCTGTATAGCGAGAGCGCGAGCAGAAATGGATTAGAATCTCGTAGCCAAAGGGGATAAACCTGCACGCGAGGCGGCAGGCTGTGATTCACGTGCTGGGCGTTCCTTCCAGGTAAGTACTACGTAAGTGGTATTGCGTGGACGACTTGCTACTACTAGCTGCTCATTGGGGTTGGTACTGTATGGAGATGCTTTGCGCTCTGCTCCCACTGGGATGAACTGCCGAAGGAGTCATCTCCCTACTTAGCTGTCGTGGAGGTCTCAGGTAAACCTTCGACTTCAATACGTCAATACGATATGCTAATTGCCTTGCCAGCAGCCAGCAGCCGTGACCCGCAAATCTAAAGTCAAGGGTGCGGCTAATAATGAGCATCTTCGTACAGCCAAAGTAAGTGGTGAGAATGGTCCAAGGGTTGGAGTCTGCGATGCTACAGGAAAGACGGGATGGGTCGGCGATCATGAGAGGGAGACGGCTCGTTGTTGCGACAAGAGTGCCAAAATCGAGGCATGAGCCTTTCTTTCTACGTCGGTTTGGACTTGAAGAACATGAAGAGAAATACGCCGAGAGGTTAGTCTGAGTTATTGGACACTGCCCCTCGTAACTTGCTCGGTAAGCCCGAGTACGTTGAACAAACAATATTCCCCAGAAGTACCGTTTGCGTATAGTAAGATGCGCTGAAGTATCAGCCATGTCCGCTATATTTTTCAGGAGAACCCATAGGTATCAAACGCGCCACGATCCCCAACGCCAACATCCAAATCCAGAAACAGCCAGCCAGCAATGTACATCCAAGACTCTGCACGTGTTCTCCCGCAGATGTGTCCTCTTTAGTGGCCATCCTAGAGACCAAGTACAACTTTCATGACAAGCGCAATCAAGCAGAAGATCACTGCCCCAATGACTCTATCCAGCCAGACCGGAGAGCCGGACTCGTCACTGACCCTCCTTTGCGTCACTCGAGTCGGGTACGCCCTCGCGACCGCAGCTCTCGGTGCATTAGGCACTGTAGCGCCAGTCGGCTGAGGCACGCTCTGCGCAGGTCTCGCAACAGGGAGCGGAGCAACTGCAGGCGCCGAGCTCGAGCTTTGCTCATCCCCCGCACCATCAAAACCAGTCCTCACGAACCCCTCGGCAAGCTCATCACTTTCCGACTCCTCGACCAGTTTCGGTCTCTCTCCCTCGCCCTGCACACCTTTTCCCATCGCGTCTTTGTACCCCATACTCAGCTCCTTCGGGATCTCCGGCTCCTGAGCCGCACCGCCCTCCATCTTCGCAGCCTCCTCCTCACACTCCTTCAAGATTTCGGCATTGGTCTTGGCGCAAACACCGCACTTCCATGCCCCCGTACCTTTGGCGATCTTCGCCCGCTCCTCATTATTCGTGTCCAGGCCGCCCAATTGGCCCTTGGCCTCTGTCTCCATGAATGTCCTCAGCGCCGTGAGCGCAGTACGCACGCCCCAGGCGGGCATCCACGTCTCCTCATGGTGGCCGCTGATGGAAAGACAGATCTCGCGATTGACTTCAAACCGGCCGGACGGGGTCAGGAAGCGGAATGATGGCGGGCGGAGCGGGTAGGTGGGCGGTAATACGATGCGGCCGTGGTAGATGCCCTCTTGGAAGGCGGAGGAGGGGGGACCGCGCAGCGTGAAATGCCAGTCGAATAGATCAGCATCTGATGCTGGAGCGGCGTGGAAGTCTGGGGAGGGGGAGGTGGCGAGTTCGGAGGCTTCGCGCACTGTGATTGTTGGTTAGTGTTGATGCTGTAAGGGATGGAGGAGGGGAGAGCCGGAAGGGGAGGGGAAGAAGCTTACGGATGCGCTTGATGGTGGGGGATTTGGAGTTGAATTTCGCTGTTGCCATGATGGCGGTCGTACGGTGATTTCGATGCTATTCAGAGAGCGGAATTGGTTGAAAGAAAAGAAACCGCTGTAGAGGTTGTCGGGTAGAGAGGCTTTATGTAAATACTAGGTGGCTCACAAGCCGAACTGGACAGCTTGACGCTGCGGGTGATAAGCACTCGATAAGGCCTTAGCGTGTTTTACCAATGACGAAGGTTTCACGTGATAGTCTCGATTTGTTAGAGCCAATGTATGTCACGAGGCCAAGCACTAATGAAGGTCAAATTACCACTCATGAGAAGTGATAAATTTGTACAGTACGGTACATGCATGCGTGAATCCGGGGTATGATACACCACCTGCCCAGAGAACGCCATGCCAATTCTTCCAAGCAATTAAAATATGCATTCATCATCTATCTCAATCGACACCTTCGTCCAGGCCATCCCAGCCCCGCACATTTTCCTTCTGTCTTGCAAATGTGTTTCCTAGTAAGGTATTTGTCATAACACCAACCCTTTGCGGCCACCCACGAGTTGCTTTGAGGTCTAATGCCTTCCTATCAGCCTCATCTTCATCGCTGCTGATATCGTACTGATCCTCTGGGTCTCGCGAACGGAGTGTGTTCATAGGAACCGCCTCATCAGTATAATCGTCCGGATTCCTCCCCAATAGTCTGTCGGCTTTGGACTGCGTCCTGTTCGGGTACGAAACGTAATGTCGACCCGCGCCATTTCGAACAGGCGGATTGTGGGACGAGGGATCGATTCCCCACCCAGCGGCATGTTCCCTCTGCTGCTGTTCGTATCTCTCCCTCGCTATCCTTTCCCGTGCTTCCAGCCACTTCGGGCTCGCCTCCCAGGTCCACCCATCCCCGGTTGTATTGCAGATGGGGAAGAACCACAGCAGCTTGTTTGGGCCAAACAGATGGGCGAAATTTTTTCTCCTCCCAAGGTCGAAAGCGCTTGGTAATTTATCTGAATCCTGTTCGTCGAGATATGCCTCGTACCTCTCTCTCGCTCTAAATCGCTCCAACGCATCGTAAGATTCGTGTCGTTGGCCCCCACCATCCCCATTCATATCTCTCTGTTGCTGCTCGTAGCTCGTTTGCGAGATAGGTGGTTGTTGCTTACGCAGCGGAGAAAGATACCTCGTCGTCTCCAAACACTCGATCGTCGTCTGTCCCCTCGAAGCAAGCAAAATATGCCACCCGGTGAACCCTGCCAGAATCAACCCGATGATCCCCGAGATCACAGCGAGCATCACGTAATTGACTGGCATCAGCGCATCCGTATACTCTCCCTCTGTCAAGATCTCCCTGTAAGCCCAGTACCCCGAAACCCCGAAGCAGAGGAAGCAGAAAAGAGTGGTGTAGATGAGGAAGAGCAGGAATGCCTTGTAGTTTCGTAGCCCAACGCAGGTTGCTAGCCATGGGCAATGATGATCCATCTTCAACACGCAAGTCTTGCACGTGGAGCAATGATGCGCTCGATCCGGCTTTCGCGCCTGGCACTTCTTGCAGAATCGTACCTCGCCATTCGCCTTGACCGTGAAGTTCGTAGCCGCAGGTGGCGCATTCGTAGGGAGAGAGCTATAGCCACTTGTACTGACTGTAGTCCCTGGGTTCGTAAAGACGGCTGTGGTGTATGACCAGTTGAGGAGGATGTATAGAGCGATTCCGAGTAAAGATGTACCATTCCCTAAACTGTAAGCGAAGCCCGCGTATTAGAAAGGTCTCCTTACCCGTCCAAGTACCCTTGGTCTGCAGGAATCCTATCGTAGCCTCAACCCACAACGCCCAACTTGTTAGAGCGTACACGAAGACGAGGGGAAAGTAGGTAGCCCCGAGGCAGCAGTATCGTTCACATTTGCGAGCCCATTTGCGCGGCATTCTGGCCGGGGATCTGGGATGACTAGGAGATGCCAATGTAGCCATCATAAGCGCTTGGAAATGTGCAAGTCATAAGACCGGAAGGTTGAGGTTGAAGGTTGAAGGTTGAATGTTGGATCTGAGTCTGAGCTTCGAAGTTCGGGGTTGAATGAAGAAGAGGCTCGGCAAGCCCTGCGGCGCAAAGTCTCAGCCAAGGGAAACACCCGAATTCATCCCGGCGCTAGTATAACGACAGCACCCAATATTTTCTGAATCGACGATAATGCTGATGCACTCGGTATTCGAACATCTTCGTCTTCCGGATACTTGACCTTATCACCGACGAGTGTATGTCATCGTGCCAAGACATCGAGGGCCTGCCATGTTCTGATACGACAAAGGCAGTCTTGCTGTGGGAAGCCCTCTCACTACTGAAAGATGGTCATCTCGTGGGGTCTCGAAGTGTCTCACATTTTTGAAAGAAAAAGATATATGCGATGAAATGACACTCGTGTCCGATATATTCTCCAGGAGTATCTGTAGGTATGTATCAAACGCGCCACAGTCCCCGACGCCAACATTCGAATCATAAAGCAGGATCCGCTACTTTCCCTCACGAGATCTATTGATGGGAGTGAGCTGTTGGGACTGGCTACTGCTTTAGTACCGGACGCCTTCCTGTGCGAGCAGGCCTCACGACGGCGCCTCTTCCAGCATCAACACTGGTGTCCGAAGCAATAAAGCTCTCATTATGACCTGTGTTCTTGGCCGCTTTGAGGGTCTTTGGCAGGACATCAGCGAGCATGAGGGCCACCAACCTTGCTGGGAGCAACTGCGGCGCAGTTGAAGCTACAATCTTTCCGCATTGACCAAGATGGTGAGGTAGATACGGGCGGCTCAAAGCTCGAAACATTGAGTATCTGTAGATCTTGTGGACCAATTCTGCTGAGTTGGCGCGAGGACGAAGTTATCAAGGTGACCTTGAGGGTCGATCGAGTCGGTCAACCTGGGTATTCTAGCCCAGCCTTTGCTATTTGCGGCACACTCGGCCATTCTCGGTCTCGTTTTCTCTTGAGATATTCGCAAATGTGCCAAACGTGCATGGTCTCGTCACACTGTCTTCCTAGTAATGTTTCCGCCGTCGCGGCCAGGTCAGCCTGACACTGTTGCACATTTTTGGCACGATACCGAGTTCTTTCGGGCGGTGAGAAATTTATGTCTGCTATCTGCTTTTAAAAGCCGAGACTAACAGAAGTCTCTCCGCTGTTCAACTCGTATTATGGTATGGCCCTGATGTGTTACGCTTCCTCTAGCTCTCAAGCGCTGTCAACTCAACCTCCCCAATGAGCTGCAATGTTGAGGCTCTATAGATTATAGGTCATCAGAGCGTCGATTGGCACCCAATAGTTATGCTATCTGCAGTCTTTCCACGAGAGATTTCAAGCTTTTCCATAGTTCGATCCCGTATCCATTTTGTGCTGTGTTGTGGTGGTGTTGGTGTTGCGTCTCACTTTGGTTTACCCCCATCGTTCCTGCCTAGCTCGTGAGGACGCTAACAGACCTAATGGGCCTACAAAAAGGCCCCTCGTCCCACGACAACAAAACCAACATCACCAACATCATCATCATCATCTCCTTCGATCTATCGCAACCACAGCGTTGCTTTCTTCGGCCAGCTTCTTCGTTGGTTCGTCACATCTACGCAGCTCAGTTGATCGACCGTGCAGTCTGCGATTATGGACCCCCAGCAAATGGCAGCCCAAGCTTCAGCGCAGGCTCAGGCTCAGGCTCAGGCGCAGCGCTACTTCTGTACTCCCTGCCAAAAAGTCTTCAGCACCGAATCCCTCTTGCAGGTGCACAAGATGAAGTCGAGCAAGCATATTTTGTGCGACGTCTGCAGGATGGAGTTCAAGAACGAAGAAGCCCGCAAGTACCACCGCAACGCTGTAAGTAGACGTCTAGTGCCTTGTAACATCACAACCATCTTTCATAATTGGACCCTCTAACAATTGACGCAGCACCACAGTGCAGAGCAGGACCTCAATTGTCCATACTGCGGAAAGCACTTCATTCGAATGGGCGGCCTGGTTTCCCACTGGGAGTTGACCGAGTGCCGTGGTCTACCAGCCAGCGTCTTCGACCAACAGCGCAAGGAAGCCACCGAAAGACTAGAACAGGGGCGCGCAGCAAACCGATTCAAGGACATAAGCCGGTCACGCAAAGTCGAGAACGAGCCCCTTCCTCCCATGCGTCGACAGGTTCCGGTATTTCAGCAAACTCCAGTTGGTCAGCGCGTTGCACAAGTTCCAGTTGATAGCGGCGTTTTGGGTAACAATGGAGGCGGCAATGGAAGCCCGGTTGGCGGATATGGCACTAGCAACGACTATGGTACTCCTCTCGTTGACATCGGCCCAAGTATCGACCCCGAGGAGGACCTTATCTCTTTTACTACGGCCGTTCTTAATACACCATGGGGTTTGGATCCAAAAGAGGCTTTGGTCAATGTTCAAAAGTTTGCTCCAACTACATCTGACTTCCCTGCTCTGGGCAAGCCTGCTGCCGGTACCTCTGCCGGTTTCAATCCAGCTACTGGTGGTATGAACCGCAACAGTGTCCGCGCCCAAGCTTGTGATACCGCCCAGACTTCGGCTCGTCTTCCCACCGTCTATGCGGGCAACCAACCCTCTCCGGCGTCCACCAATGCTTGGTCAAAACAAAAGAATCTCTTCCCTGAGGCACCTGCCGCAATTGCCCCGCCTACCGAGCTTTTGAAGTCGATGGCTATTTCAGAGCCCGTGAAGAAGGACAAAAACTTCAACGAAACCAACCCTGATAGCCCAGACTTCCGTGCAGACCGCTTCTGGATCAAACCCCTTGGCAAATTCAAGTGCCCACACTGCCCGTGAGTCTCCTATTCCATCTGGCTAGGATTTCTATTAACCCGTCTTCAGAAAGAGCCATGCGTCCAGACCCGCTTTCATCGCTCACTTGAAATCACCAGCTCACCGTTCAGAGAGACTTCAATGTACCAAATGCCTCCGTTATTACGATACGGCCACTGCTCTAACTCAGCACTACGAGTCTCAAAGTATCCGCTGCACAGTCCGCGAGACCGATGGCTACGACAATGTACTCCTCGGTGCTACGGCTGAGAATGTCTTGACCCAAGGTCGCATGGCTGATGATACTATCAAGTATATCATTAACCCGCAGGCCCCTCTTCTTACCGGTGCTGCAGCTGGTGGCGGTGTCGCTGGTGTCGCTGCTGCCCTTCGTGCTGCCGAAAGGGTACGTAACAATCAGAAGGACGAGTTCTGGACCAAGCATACTCCAAAGTGGTAGATACATGCTTACTATCAGAGATTTGGAAGGCGCTGATACAGGAATGCTTTCCATCATATCTTGCCCTGATGATTCTCTCGTACGGCGGCGTTCTTTCGAACAAAGTTCATGGCTAGCTAGTGAGTCATTTTGCAGAATTAGAACTGGGAGTTCTTTTATTTTATGGCTTGACTCGAGTGATTCTTTCGTTCGTTACATGCTCTTGCGTTTTCGCGCTGCAATATTCGTTCGGAATCAAGCCCTAAATTGGTTCATCTGGGCTCCCTGCATAGGCTATTAATTAGTCGTCAGTCAGTCAAATTGAAATCAGATCACGAAGTTCTCTTCTCCTGTTTTTAATGTTTCCCGTAGATTCCTTCTCGGACCATATATCAGCAAGTACGGGTAGATCTTGGTCACTATTCAGGGAACCAACGATGTTTCTTCGTTCTGTACTACACAACCATTCATATCTCCAACACCTAGCTTTCTATCTATGTGATACAAGTTAAGCTGGCCTATTATGGTTTGCTTCTCCGATCTAGGTCCTCTTTTCAACCGTCGACTTTCCTCTGCTCGCTGGTCCTGACTTAAGACCCACTTGAATTGAAGGTCGCGGCGGTGAATTTGGGCTCGCGATATCGCAGTTTTATGAAGCTTACAGAGGTCTCGAACCTGGTAGCGTGGCGGCTAGACTCAGGTTCGAGATCTGTTTTGACGTAAGCCAGGTCTTTCCTCCTCGGAACTTAAGAGATGCTCTGAAAATGCGCTTCGGGGGCCCAATGCGGCGTATTCAGAATCGGGCTTGTCTCCCTTCTTCTGAGCCTTTTGAAATGAAGCACAGAGAGTTCAAGGAAATGCTTTTCAGGAAAATCAAAATGATGTGAACAGATCTACCACCAAGAAGGTTTATAGAAGTTCGAGAAGCAAAGAGCAATGACGGCTATCTTACGACGCCGAGTTACAATGAAATGAGCTTACAGCTCTATGAATACCGAGAAGGTGCGATCACAGTTTTGAAATGTCTGCTTTTTAGCCTCGAGTCTTGCATCTGGGCCCGCATCCATCTCTCAATCATTCAGTCCCTCATACCAAATCTCATGATAACTCCTCAAATCAATGTCATCGGGCTTCCTTAAGTACGGCGTCAGATCTCCCTCGCCCTTCACTTCTTTCGCCGTCCACCCGTTCCCCAACCACGCAAACCGGTTACCAGTTTGCGTCTTGTACGTCCACTCCCAGTCCTCCCACCTAGGATCCCTCCTCGCAACGTTGACATGACTTGCGCTCCCCGGCCAGTGGCCATGGATTCTTCCGCCAGGCCTCCCGCCGTTCGCCCACGAGCTACAGTTCTCCGAGAACACCGTCTTGGGGAAGAACGAGTCCGCGTACGCGATGAAATCATCCGTCGCGGTCTGCGAGGGCACGAAGGTCTTGATGCCTTGCGAGGAGACCTTGCGCAGGAGCTTCGCGATGTAGGTCACCTGCGTCTCGACCTGGTTGGGCACCGTGCCGCTGTGGCCGGCGGAATTCGGTCCATGTACATGCAGTAGGTTCGGGAAGTGGGGCGTGGCGAAGCCGAGATAGGTGAGGGGGTCTGGGGACCAGGCGTCGCGCAGGTCTTTCCCGTTGGCGGTGATGGGGAACGGGGGCCGCATGTCGACATTAGCGCCTGTGGAGCAGATCACGGCGTCGACAGTGCGCTCGACGCCGTCCGTGGTGACGATTCCGCTCGCGGTGAAGTGCGAGATTGGGGTGCGGATGAAGGTGACGTTATCTTCGGTGAGGGCCTCCAGATATCCCGGACCGGGCGTCAGGCGGCGACAATTGGGGGAGAAGTCGGGCACGATGTGTTCGAGGAGCTGGGGCTTTTTCTCTAGCCTCTTTGCCATCAACTGTATGAACTCCTCGCGTAGCTGTTTGTTTTTCTCGCTTCCCTTGAAGAGAGTGCCAAAACGACGGTAGAACTTCGATTCGAGTTCTTTGCGGAACTCGTGGTATATTTCCGGGTCCTTGAAGGACTCGAGAAGTTCTCTAGCGTAGTAATTTGGCTCGAGTCTTCGTCCAGGACCTTCGCCGCCAAAGGAGCCTGCGATCCAGGTTGGGCTCCGGGCGTAGTGGTCGAGGTGTTTGACCAGAGGCTGGAGGTTGGGCACGACTTGGATACCGCTCGCTCCATTGCCAATGACGGCCACGGTCTTGCCTTTGGGGTCAAACTTTGGATCCCAGGCAGACGAGTGTCGGAGATGACCCTTGTATTCCTCGATTCCTGGATAATCTGGCAGCTTCCAGTCATTGAACCGGCCATTGGCTGTGATCACCACATCAAACTCCGGCGTTTCAATCTCACCGTTTTCAAGATTCTCAACCCGCAGTGTCCATTTCCCACTGTCATTGTCCCACTGTGCTTTAGCAACCTTGTGCCTGAGTTTGAGATACTTGTACACATTATATTTACGTGCCACGCTCTTCCAATACTCTAAAATCTCGGCTCCTTGGGCGCTAAGGAAGAATTCGAAGTCAGCATGGCGATTCGAAGAACTTGAGTGAGCATGGAAACCTTCCCCCAAGGCCGGAACAGAGCTGAAGACTCTCGAGACGATATCACAGGGGGGAGAAAACGCTCGGAAATATAACACGTACTACTCTTCTGTCCACTGCGTCTTTGGCGAGAAGGTAGATTGGTACACGTTGGCAGGAATATCGCAGCGAACGCCAGGGTAGACATTTTCAAACCACACCCCTCCAACATCGGCGTTCTTGTCGTATATGGTCAAATCAAGCCCCGGTACCTTTGCTGGGAGAAGGATACCGGCATTGATACCTGCGAGGCCTGCTCCGACGACCGCCACCTAAAGGATCGTCAACATCCGGATTTATTTGAGAGCGTCTAAGTTGCGGGAGTACGGGCGGGGAGGCCTACCCTTATTCTCCCAGGCGCATCAATCGGATGGTCCTCAAGCTCAAAAATCCCCGAGTGGTAGTCGCGAGGCTGGGAAGGCCTTACTGAGAGCGATTCTCCCTTCCTATCATCATTGACCTTTACCGCTGACGTGGGTTCAACAGTTTCTGACACGGCTACTGGAGACTTCTCCTTCTTCAACGAGACGGGCAGACTCGCAGCAGTAGAATCGATACTTTCAAGTGAAGGTGCCATGTTTTACTCCTTCTCGAAGTCTGCAGCAGGAACGCAGTTGGTAATTTCGAGGTGTGAATTTCTGGTCAAAGGTTTCCTCTCTTCAACGGAGATGGGATTCCAAGATTCATAGGGGATCAGTATCCCGTTGAAAGACTACGACTACCTATCTACCTACCTCCTCCCTACCTATATATCTATGCCGCGCAGCCTGTCACGCTATGGTCTTGTTTCATGACATGATGACAACCTCTTCCGACTGGCCTCCGCTTAGAGATGTCGGATCCAAGTACGAGTCGAGATATGAAGATACGAGTAATACCCGGGTACAAGTCTCTGGAGATGCACTGCCCGAAATGATGAAAGCGACCCTCGATATGACGAATCCCGATACCAAGGAAACTCTCTTCCCCATTCTTTGACGGGTGTTGGATCTCGAGAAGAACCATGATCCTGACATCACGTGGGAAACGTTGAAATAAGCTTACCCCTGAGTGGAGCACGACTTCGGTAGGGATGAAAACGCCATTCGGATGCAATTTACGATTTCAAGAGGCGAGTAATCAGGATCGCTTGTCAAGTTGTCAGGACCTTGAGATGCATCCATATTTCTGCGATGTCATCTTTCAACTATGTAGCCAGTGGCAAGTTGTCTATCTATCTTCGACTCTCTTTCGATTATCCTGTCAACTCGAGTTTACATCGAGTTTTTGCATCGCGGTTTTGATTAACGCGTTGAGTGCTTTAAATCAAATCAAATCAAATCAACAAATGATCAAAAGTTTCTCTCCTGCTTCTTTCTTTAATACCCTCAATCATGTCGTCTCCAAAGAAACAGTTGATCATTAATGCCTTCGCCATGCAAGCGCCCGGCCACGTGAATCCGGGTCTCTGGAAGTACCCTGCCGATACCAGCACGCAGTATGCCAACATCAAGCACTGGATAGCCCTCGCAAAGAAGCTCGAGAAAGCAAAGTTCCACGCAATCTTCTTCGCTGATGTCCTCGGCGGATACGACGTGTACAATGGCCCTGCGAATCTCAATGCCACTATTCCCGCAGCGACACAGTTCCCAATAAACGACCCTCTCTACAGTATCCCCGCACTGGCAGCCGCTACAGAGAGCATTGGATTTGGCGTCACCGCTTCCACGACGTACGAGAGTCCGTACATGCTCGCGAGGAAATTCTCGACGGTAGACCACCTAGCCGAGGGCCGGGTCGCGTGGAACATTGTCACTTCGTACCTGGATTCCGCGGCCCGGAATTTCGGTCTCGATACCCAGATTGGCCACGACGAGCGCTACCAGATTGCGGATGAGTACATGGAAGTCGCATACAAGCTTTGGGAAGGCTCGTGGCGGGATGATGCCAGGAGCGGTGCGCCGGAGGGGGCCTACGCGGATCCGAAAGCTGTCCGACAGATCAATCACAAGGGGAAGCACTTCAATATCCCAGGCCCTCATATATGCGAACCTTCGAAGCAACGGACCCCTTTCTTGTTCCAGGCCGGCACGTCCAGCGCGGGAAGGAAGTTCGCAGCCACCCACGCCGAGGCGATATTCCTAAACGGCCACACAGCGGAGCTGGTGCGACCTTCAGTTGACTCGATCCGTGCTCAAGCTAAGGAATTTGGTCGGGACCCGAGCAGCATCAAGATCGTGGCTGGACTGCTCGTCATTGTAGGCGAGACGACGGAGAAGGCGCAGGCGAGATTTAAAGAGTTGGCTAGCTACGGAGACCGAGAAGGGGCCCTGGCTTTGTTTGGGGGCTGGTCTGGGTACGACTTGGGAAAGTACGACGACGATGAGGATTTCAGGTTCCTGGAAACCGCGCCTCCAGCCGTGAGGAGCATGGTCAATCACTGGTCACAGTCGTCGCCCCAAGGTACCAAGTGGAACAAGAAGACCATCGCCGAGCACTTGATCATCGGCGGGAATGGAGCGAGGATCATTGGAGATGCCAAATCTGTCGCTGATGAGCTGGAGAGGTGGGCGGAAGTCGCTGATGTTGATGGCTTCAATCTCAGCTACGCAGCTGTCCCCGAGACTTTCGACGATATTATTGAGTATCTGCTGCCAGAGCTGAGGAGGAGAGGCCTATTCTGGGATGACTATGTTGTGCCAGGAGGGACACTACGCGAGAATTACCTGGGTGTTAAGGGACATTCCAGGTTATCTGCTACGCATCCTGGCGCCAAGTTCTTTTGGAAAACCGGCGAAGATGTGCCTGCTTATGCTCAAGAGACGAACGGAGCTAAAAAGATAGATGAACCTAGTGAGAGCGTAGATAGTCTTGCCAAACGGCGACGTGTAGCATAAAAAACTTAGGGCCCGTCTGCTTCAAAGCCTGTATGTAAGTAAAAACTGGCTCAAAAACTGGCTCTGCACAACTCTAGTTTATAAAGTACGGTTTATACCAACCGATATTTTTAAAACGACGTTTGGTCCAAGACGCCTTCCTGAGCTCTATGTAAATAAAGGTGAAGTACGAAATTCCAAACTACTGCAAGACTACCAAAATGCAAGGCTTGGCTAGCATACAAACTCAAAAATTGACTGTACAATCAATTAAAAAGGTAATTGCATAATTCGTGTGGTTTTTTATGGAGTAGCGAAACATCTTGTGCAACCCAGGTTGTACAGTCTATTTTACCTCTGAACCAGAATAACCGAGCCTCCCCTTGGTTTCTACAAATCGGGCCCGGGTTTTACATACTGTCTTTGAACCAGATGGGCCCTACTCTGTAAGTCTATCAAACCCAGCGGCTCGGGTAAGCTGTCCGTGCTTTTGACAGGTGCCAACCAGTCTAGGAGTGAAGCACCTGGTACCCAGTGTCACCGTCAGGATGAGCAAGCTCTACTTCCCTAAGTGATGTCAAGTGGCCAACTGACTTTATCCGACAAACCGGTTCGCGAGAGAGGCCCGGATGTATACGGTAGTGGTTGCGGGTTTTCCATCCACAGCCTGGGAGTGGATCTGGAGAACGTGCTTGCAACTTATATTTCGTGATCGCACGTCATGCTTGCATATTCCAGCATCTGCTCATCATACTTTTTGAAGTGTTTTGGAGAGATAAATCATCCAGGATATCGGTTCGAGAGACGATGCGGCGGAGAATGGTGGTAGGTACAAGTACAAATCATGTCTCGGCCCTCGAGGACTTTCCCACAAAACATTTGACAGCGGAGATCACCCAGCCGTTCTCGAGTCGTCTCTATCAAGTTTGCACAAAATGTCGGATCTTGAAACCAAGTCCGAGCCACGGATCGAGGCAGGGCCTTCTTCACTCGACAGTGAGGCTCTCCCTGTCACCCACGAGTATATCAAGCGTTCGTCCCCCCCCCCCAATACACCAACACATGCTGATACCGCGTCAGCAAAATGGTACCGCAGCACCTATTACAATGCTTTCATCCTCGGTATCTGCAACTTTCTCGCGCCGGGAATCTGGGGGGCGATGAACTCGCTCGGTGCCGGTGGAGAACAGGAACCTTACCTGGTCAATGCTGCCAATTCGCTCACGTTCGGGCTCATGGTCGTCTCCTGCTTCTTTTCGCCCCTCCTCGTCAAAGCCGTAGGCATCAAATGGACTTTGATTTTCGGCACTATGGGATACGCTCCCTATGCCGCGGGCTTGTACTCCAACAATCGGTACGACGCCGAATGGGCCGTCTTGCTTGGAGCAGGATTATGTGGTATATCGGCAGGAATCTTCTGTAGGTGTTTCGGAAGCCTGCATGTTCCTCTTTTCGATGGCTTGAGACATCCAATGGACATGTCCTAGCCCTTTCCCGAAGGAAATCTCAACAGCCAAGAGCTAACAAACCCCGTTACCCAGGGATGGCTGAGGCCGCCATTGCACTCTCCTATCCAGAGCCTGAGAACCAGGGTCGCTTCCTGGGATTCTGGCTCAGCTTTCGTATCGGTGGACAGATCCTTGGAGGCGCGATCAACCTTGGCATCAACTCGAACAAGAACGAAGCTGGCAAGGTCTCCTACAAAGTTTTCCTGGCGTTCATTGCTCTGCAAGCACTCGCACCCTTAGCCGGCCTGCTCCTCAACAAGCCCGACCAAGTCCAGCGGACCGACGGTGTCAAGGTCAAACTCGCCATCACCGGAAGCGCGTCCTACGAGCTGAAAGCCAACGCCAAGCTCTTCGTCACCCCGAACTTCCTGCTGCTCGTCCCGCTCATCGCCCAGGCCGTCTACGCCGAGGCCGTCTTCTTCACCTTCGCTTCCCTCTGGTTCACCGTGCGGGTCCGAGCCTTGGGCTCTTTCCTGTCCGGCATCGTCGCCCTGGTCGGCGGTAACGTGCTCGGCGCCTGGCTGGACGGGAAGAAGCTAAGTCTGAAGACGAGGACGCGAGGCGCGTTCTTTACCATTCTCGGGCTGCAGGGCGTGTGGTGGGTGTGGGCGACCATCCTGGTGACGGATTTCCGCGAGAGCCGCCCGACGTATGACTGGCTCGATGCCGGCTTTGCGAAGGGGTTTGCCCTGTTCCTGTTCTGGGTGATGGGCTTCCAGTTGAATTACATGTACCTGTAAGTGCATTGTCGCTCCCGCCTGTCTGGGCCATCCACACTGATTTGAGGAGCTACTTTGTTGTTGGCGAGCTGGTGAACACGGATGCGGATGTGATTCGTATCGCTGGGCTCTTGCGAGCAACGGAATCGGCTGTCCAAGCTGTCAGCGTACGTGCCCCCAACACCTCCATTCCACTTCTTGATCCTCGCTAATCCAGCTGCCAGTACGGGTTGAACAGCATCAAGGTCTTCGCGGAGGTCGGTGGTGTATACGTGAACTTCGGTCTTTGGGGCGTTGCCTTGATTCCCGGCTGGCTGGTCATCAGACAAATCGGCGTCACGTTAGGCGACAAGAAGCTTGAACGGGAAGGGCTCATTCAAAGCGGGCCGGAGGGCGACGTTATTGAAAGGCGCGATACAGACTAGCGCAAGAGTATTTAGCTAAAATTTGCTTTCTTGGGTTTTTTAGAAAAAGGCCCTTTTCCACCTGTTATCTTTCCTGTAAATACGCAAAGAATTTCGATATTCTCAATGTGTCTTTTCGATTCGCAGTCGGGTTGCTAGTCAGCTATTTTATCTTCATCTTCATCATCTCGGTTATTGTTGATTTAGCCGGGAATAATCCGTGTTTATTGGTCGGATTGCCATTACCGAACCGGGTTCTCTTGTGATTCCTTCGATATCTTTACCGAAGAGGACGAAAAGTTGTCACCTAATTAAGAGCCGGTAATAAGCATTTGTTTACTTAATCGAAGATAGCCCGCCATTGTTTAACCAAAAGTAGGTACTTCGACTATTTTTTGTTTAGGCGAGAATACCTCCTTTACCATTCCTCTTGTCACAATATCACAAATAAAAAGGGGAAAACTCAATGTAGAGAACGGCTCTCTGTGTTTCTGGGGCCGCTTTACGGAGGATTTGGCTTTTCTTGCGTGCTCGGATAGGCTAGTTCTGATGACGACAATGATGACGATGATAGTGATATCATTTTACCGTCTATGCCGGGTCTTTGAAGAGTCCGACTTACGATCTCCCGATGAGTATATCAACGCATCGGCGCCAAAATCATGAAGTGATCGTAATCAATTGAATAAGATTTAAGTCAAAAGTCCATGTGTATCGGTAAGCTAATACCACGAAAGATTAAAAATATACAAATCGATGCAAAGTGCTGGATCTTTGATCTCGCAGAATCGCAGCTTTAATGTATGCAATCTATTAACTGCAATTCGAATGGAAACAAGCCGAGAGCAGCGATGTTTCCTCATATTGAAACAATGTACTTATTTTTCGTGTCGGTATTGATAGATACTTGAAGACAGAGCTTTACGCAGCTCCAGGGGTCTCGTGGTCAGTCTAAGGTCTCGTCTCCTCGGTAAGCCTTATATGATGGGCCTGGGCCTGGGCCTTCGTCGATCTCGGGAATTGGCCTTTAAAGTAGTTCTCAAAGAAGGAAAAAGCTCCGCTTTCAGCTACGTATCTTGACTCTAAAGTCAAGGGAAAACTAAACTAACTACGGGACGGTACGTGGGTTCGGAAAAAGCCTTTTTTACTGTATGGAAGGTACTCAGATCATGACGTAGCTCGCACCTGATATTGGATGATGTCTCGCCAAGGGTCGGACAGACATTCGTAAAGTCCTCTATATAATTAAAGATTTGAGCCGATGGAAAGTATGATGTTTTTCGCAGATACGATAAACTAAACTAAGGGCTCTTCAAAAGTTTTCGATAGATTATTGAAAGGGGTTTTCAAAAAAAATGATAACTCAAGTGAGAGATTCAGACTACGAGGTCTATAATTAGAAAACGGGGTAGTCGGTTTAAGAACTTCTGTATATATACACACACATATATATTTAAAAAAAGGAGACACAGAACGTGAGGTCAAATTTCTATTGGAGAGGGCCCCGTAATGCAGACTAGCGTAGGTATATTTAGCTAAGCTTTGCTCCCTTCTTCAATAACACCTTTCCGGATCCTCAACTTTATGTCCGTACTTCTTAGCTCCGCAGATCTCGCGATGGGCAACTCTCAAGCTACAAATTAATTGATCGACGGCTTTTACTCGCATCAATTGGCTGTCTGGGTACAAGCAATACATCATAGAATGAGATTGAGTGCTCGGAGCCCCCGTATTTCGGTAACACATGATAGCTGAAGAGAAGCCTCTCCGATACTGAGAAAGTGGTGATGCAATCCAGCTGGCAGCACGTAGAAGAGGGAGAAGGTGGTCACTGTATAAAGAGGATGGCTCGTCCAGCGAATCCATCGACACTCTTTGACTGAAGAAGCAGCCTCAACAAGCCTCAAAAGCCAGAAGAATCGATTCAAATCTCACCTCGCAATTCTCTCGCCAGATCAAATTGTCTCGCATTTACAAAACTCGACCGGCCACCATGCAACTCCTCCTTCCCTTCCTCACCACCCTCCTCGCCTCCGCGGCAGCTATTCCCCTTGAGAATAGGTGGGAGGAAGTTCCCGCCCACCCGATTGATGTGCACGAGGCGCTGGATTCGGGTTTGCTCCCCGCGGCTTTCACGAAGATCGTGGAGAACAAGCTAAAGGTCAGGAGACAAGAGGGGGGCGCCACGCCTGATTCGTCCGACCCTTGGAGCGATTTTTTGAAGGGGGCACCAGGGAATTTCGAGTCGATCTTTGAAGATAGCTCCAAGGTCAAGGGACAAGGAGGGGATTCCTCGTCTGACCCGGCCGACCTCTGGAGCGAGATTTCGAAGGAGGCGCCAGAAATTTTGGAGTCGATCTCCGAAAATCATTCCAAGTTCAAGAGACAATAATTTGAATCCATGTTTCACGAGTTTGAGGAGTTGGGCATTGAGGAGTTGGGCATTGAGGGGTTGGGCGAGGCTATGAAGGAGATGCCAGGGGATTTCAAGTTCCCGGGCTGGTAATTGGGGGTTATAATTCGATTTTACTTCTGAGTTCTGTGATGACGATTTCCAGAAACGGGACTGTGGCATGCATGTTATGGACATTGACGGAATGATTTGTACATCGACAGTTTTGGGGACGAGGCGAGGTTTGGGGAGATCATGGCTTGTCAAAATAAAAAGTGCCATTGCACTGATTGGAAGACTCAAGCCCTGTTGATTGTGTATTTGAATAGAGCTAAGTTCGAAATATGGCTGTCGCTTTAAAACTATCACTGCAAAAACCGTTGAGTAACTAGGTAAGGAGTGGTACGTCCAATATTTCAAAGACCGACGGGGAGGAACGGAAGGTCTTCCCATTTCAGCATACGTATCTACATTCAAAGAAATTGCAAGTACTGACAATCATCTATAATCACCAGTAACATGCGATTCACTTCAAAAACTCTTCTGAGGATATTGATCTTCATCACGCGCGTCTTCGCCTTCAATGGACAGGTGCTCTATCATTTCCATGCCCAATCATTTGACGTAGCAAAAATAAGAAAAGAAAATCCTCAATACTGTCCCTTGCAAAGAAACGCTAGCGCCGCGCGGTTTCTGGTCTGGTACTCAGGCGAAAATTACAGAGGGGATGAAATAAGCGAACTGTTTACCTTTCCTTCATTAAGCGAGTGCAGAAAAGTGGACGGCTGGATCTCCGCTTTAATAGCGACTCGCGATACATGAAAAACATAACTAGCTATAGCCTCAAAGGAAATGATATTCATTTGTCAATGGAGTCGACGATGAAGTAGAGAAAACTGTCGTCTCTACCCCGGGGCCGCGGTCTCTTGAGCTTGGCTTTTCCCCATCACCTTAATTTTCGCTTACGTCTATAAAAGGCAAAAAGATTCCTTGACGTTTAGGAATTCGATCAATTTAAAGATATTTGCTCAAATACGACCCGTAACTGATAACCCAAGTGTCGATGGAACACGTAAACTCTCCAGTTCTGTTCAGCAGAATGATACTTTAAAGTCTCGGCTAACTATATCTACTTTTGGCCGGGCCTGGGCGAAAAGTGTCATACATGAGCTTCTACAGCTTCGTGGTATAAATCAAAAGCTATATGTAATTGATGGATCTTGAATTCCTTGGAATACACAAAAAGTTACTGCTGAGTAATGACTGCACGATACTAGGTGCGTTGGATATTGATCGGCATCAAGTAGATTGACACATCCAAATGAGTGCAATCACACCTGCCCAGATTAAAAAGAGAGCTGACAAAAACACGCTGCGTGTACAGTACTAGGCATCAAGTAGATCGACAAAGCCAAACGAGTTTGAAGATCCCCTGTTCGAGAGGTCTAGACCCGAGCTTCGAAACGACGGATCGTCCTGCTCCTCTTGGTCTGACCATTTTGAACGAGTGTGTAACAGGAGACAAAACCGCAAAGATGTCCTGTCATTACCGCATCTAGCGGTGCTCTTGGGTATCTAAGTCGACCCCTATTGGCATTTCCTCATCGGATGGACCAATAATTGTTAAATTTGGTGCCTTGATCCGATCTCGCAGTCGTTTCACTACTTGATCGCTGGTCATTAGCGTAAATCTATGCGGTTGCTCCACGACTTTGACGATATCAAGATCTGCCACCGTCCATTGACCATCCCAAACCCCCCATCCATCTTCTCTCCCCACAATATTCAGTTCTACTCTCAAGATCTCGAGGCTTCGCATTTCAGCAAGTGATTTCCAGGCCTGGATCCATTGTCTCTGGTGCCCTTTGGTCTGCTCCATTGCTTCGTCAAACGCGGCCTGTTTACAAAGCTCCCTTGCCGCAGTCGGCAGCGACGGAGCTTCGGGGAGAGTCCAACACAACGTCAAAGAGCGGATAGCATTGTATCGTTCCGATGGGAAAGAGCACGAGAGATGGTTGACAACTTCTACAGATCGTGTATCAAAAGAATTGAGTTCGTAGAGATAGCGAGCTCCCTCGGCGTACCTATTCCTGTCAGAGAAAGTCGAGATTGAGATCCACACTCCACTTGCATCTGAAGACAGCTGGTCAAACAGCCCATGACTCCAATTTTAGGCCACTGCTCAACCCCAGGCTTTTCGAGCCAGTCTCGGCATTTGAGTCGACAAGCCACATCACTGGCCCTGCACAGGGCTCCCTGAAGTCTATCGGGCTCAGATTCTTCCATCCACAAGTGCAGTAGCATTCCACCCAAAAGTTCCCTCCAGATCATATCTCGGATTTCCCGAGGTAGAGTGAGCAAGGGACTTTGCCACTGCACCGCGGGTGGGTGCTCGAAAGCAGGCACATCTACATTTCTAATTTCCCTCGTAAGTCTATGCTTCACTCCTGAGATCCCAACTCACGTGAGATGCCTGGCCTTTGATTCACCCGAAGAAAACAGACGGGATATCGAAGTTAGCCCAATCCCGAGGATCTTGTCTTTGGACCCTTTGATGACGGATTTGAGCCTCTCTTGAGCCATTGTCGTCGCCGGTGCCTCGCCTACGGATGGATCGATATCGTCTGTCCTTGGCAATAAGAAATGAATATTCAACATCAACTTACCCATACCCAGGCTGCAAAGTCGATGACAAGCTTCCACTTGGTAGCACTCACTCGCCCATGTTAAGGGCTGGTCGTGAAGCCTTGTTTGCACAGCCACAAATGGCCACCACATATCACGTGAACTGGGCATAGCTCAAGCCATGTGAATTGACACGTGCTCATAGCCTTTGATGTCTTGGAAATTGAAGCTGTAGAACCTGCGACCTAACCCTCTTTCTGTCGAGTTATATCCAAACCGCAGGGCGCATGATTGAGGTTCCGAAACGCCGAATCTTTGAAAATCGTCTGCGGAGTATTCCTTCAACTGCTCTAATTGAACTTCAGCTAATTAGTACACCGTTGAAAAGTAAGTTGGAGGGAAAAGCGGAAGTTGCCATGGGATTTACTTTGTGAGTGATCGGAAGGGGCTTGTCTGTGTTAAGCGACAACAACATGATGGTGTCAACATATCCATCTCCATGTAGCCACTCTGCTGGCTCCTCTATCCCGGATAGTGTCGTAATCATGTGATTGGAAAGGGAGTACAATACAAGTAAGTCAGAAGAGGCGTGAAGACGAAGTAGGATCTGGGTGGCACGACGACTGTCTGATACTTCTTATTTAGCTCCCGCAAGAGGACGAATCCAGACCATCTACAGAGCGTGAGCAGTGAGTTTTATATCGGGGTATTAAACGTACCCTGACCCTGAGATGACGGCCCTTTCTCGGTCTGTGAGAAGGGCTCTTGCAATGCTGGGGCATCCCGTTTACATACCTACCTAGTAGTAGGTAGGTACGGAGGTACAGGCCTTACTTATGTCTTGTCTTAGCGCCCTAGGCTGGGTACACCTATCTCGCAGGCAGAAAGTACTGCTCCTTACAGTATGCTATGAAGACCTATCGAAGGCGGTAAGACAAGCCACAAAGGCCTGCACCTCCGTAGAGATACGATTCTTGGTACCGCATAAACCCTCCAGAGTGGCGCGCGGGGCTGCCAAAAACGAATAATCTTTGTTTCTTCACTGATCATCGCGTTGACTGCGCCAAAACAGTATTAAATTGACCTAGATAAATTAACTATTAAGTAAGTTGACGTAAATGGCAAGCAGCTTACGTAATTGCAAAGCGAGCTTGGGAGTGCATCTACAAACGTTTATACGTGCAATTGAGAGTTTATAGAATTTTAAGAGGCCTGTTTGTTTGAATGATTTAGAATTCGAAATAATAATATATCTTTAGTCTTCAATTGTCAGTACCTTTAGCTCTATCACCAAAACGTAATCCCTATACGTTCACAATTTTGGATCCTTAACAATGTGACGTAATCTAATTCTAGAATTAAAAAAAAAGATTATGCTAAGGGAGGCGACGTGCTACTAGTATATCAGCTAGTCTCATAGTCTTAGTCTTCGAAACCATCGTAACCTGAAAACGAAAGTGATCGAATACAGTAGGTAGCTCCTTAATAAGAAGACCTTTCAAGATCTTGACCTGAGAAATAGCTACGTAATTCGATATAATAACGTAATCTCTAAAAGTTAAATTCGTAATTATTTTATCCGCTAAAATCCTTTAGAATTTATGAATAGTAATAGCGAAAGCAATAGTAAGGGGGAGCTGCGTCCGAGTATAGGCTAGAAGTATATTCTTTAATTACGATTTTCTTTTTTAAGAAGTAATCAGCACGACTTGTTGACCTTTGGCGTTCTTAGAGAGGCAAGGGCTATCGTAATTATTGTGAACGAGTAGCATAGTAAGAATATCTATATCACAATCAGCTTTAAGAAGCCACTTGAAATCTTCCACGGTACCTAAAGCACTATTGACTAGGCCTCTTTCAATCCAACGATTCTACGTAAGCATAACTCTGGCTTCGATACAAAGAAGTGATGGTTTTATGAAGATTACTACTTTTATCTTAATCGGCGGTTTTAGACCTTTAGCTAGTATAACAAGCTTTGATTTGCATAAAAATATTCGTAATAGTACTACGTAGTAGTAAATGGGAGAAGGAGCAAAGGATACTTTACGTCATCATTACCACTAGCTCGTTATAGCCTTCCCTCCTTCCATAGATAATAATCATCCTATGTTCCCCCTCTTGATCACTTCTCTTTTCTGCAATCAATTCATCAATTGTTAATCGAGAACGGTAATAGCTAAGCGAAGAGTGTACTAGTTTACGCGATTAATCTTGGTTTAGTTAGGACGGGTTAAGGATAAAAGCGGAGATACTAAAAGTCTGTGAATCACGTGAGATTCAAAATCACTTTTTGATTGACCAATCAAGTCCATTCGCTTAAAATGTTATTTGCAGTTTTTCATAAGGTCATGTTCCCTCTTATAAGGGAAGGAGCTCTTAGGAAATACTACGTACAAAGCTCGCAAGCTCTCTTTGATAGTGGATCCGTAGAAAGTGGTTAGGAACTTGTGAAAAGAGAAAAAGTACTGTAAAAGACGTATGGAAAAAGCTGGCGGGCAGGCCTCGACCCCCGAAATCGCCTTTAGTAAGCTTCAAACCTTCAAAAGAACCGCAATCAACGCACTGATCAGTTAGGAGACAAAGATCATACGTTATTGACAGCCCCACGTGCTACTCTAAGGAGTTTATGCGGTATCCTTGATGCAGAACTCAATTCCTATACCGCTCCTCGATAACCCTTTCTGACAGAAGAGTCAGCTGATGTACTACTACGTCGCAGGCGTAAGTATTACCCCTCGAGGGTAGGGAAAACAGGGGGTTTAAAGTGGAAACTAAACTTTTAAGGCACCCTCGAGGGGTAATACTTAGGCCTGTACCGTGGTAGATCACTTAATCAGTTTTTCCTTGAGACGAACTACTTTTCTATTGGCTGCCCTGCCTCGAAGGAAGCTCCAGTCGAATTAGTCGGTTGCATTATCTTTCCCGAGCCAGGTAGGGGCATGTTAAGACTATCATGCCAGCCGATATGCGTAATACGTTGTACGACGCCGATGCGAAAATTCGATATAAATTCACATACTAGTCAGTGCGCTGCCCGTTATCTTCGAACTAAACCCCCATAAATGATTATCGGACCCAGTCTAGCCCTATTAATCATAGAGCAGTGGTTTCTGAATGGCTCGAAGCCCCGTGAACTCTATTGCACAGACTAAGTACTTGCTAAAGGTACTTTTCAAGGCCGAATCTTTACGTATAAGTTGATTGGTTTAAGTCCTGGTAAGAGCCCTTGCCAAGTTATACTTTCAACAGTCAATCTTAGCGAGGGGAAAGTGATGGACTTGCCAGCCGGAACCCTCAAAGCTTACTTGCAGAACGAGAGCGGGGGAGAATTCTTGGTACCACGAAATTCGATAACCTGAGGTCGATTGTTTTCAATGCCTCGAACATAGTGGAACCGTGTTCCGCATACCTCAACGCCGGTGCGATTTTTGCTCGATTGAAAGCAAAGTAAAACTGGCTCGAACCAAAAGAAAAGGAAAGAAATAGGAGCTACGCTAGAAAAGGTCAGCAATTTAGCCAGATTAGCTACAATAAAAGGAACAACAACTGTCCTGCTAGAGAAGGCAAGCTGAATGATACAGAATAGTCTCTATTCTTGATCCGATTGTAATCTGTACCTCACATTTACGTAGATTTCTATTCCGCTGACATATTAGCTACGGGAATGAGGTCATCTCCCCTTCTTCGGCCTCTTCGGCCTCCCTTTTCTTTACGGAACTACGGACTTGGCTACCAAAATGCCTCGGATCGGAGACATGTAGACAGAGGCCTGCATATAGCGGTAAGCAAATTTGAGTGGTTGAGGCATGCGGAACTCGGTTCCACTTTCTTCGAGGCATTGGAAACAATCGACCATGATCTGATTGTCAATGCCATGTGCTCAGCAGGTCGGAGGCGGCTAAGAGGCCTTGTTCGACAAACTTTGATATCGAAGCCCTATATCAACTCCTCGATTCCACACGTAGAAGAAATGGTCTACCACCCACCTTTTCCCCTTTCTCTTGCCTTGGCTCTGACCTGCAGCCATGAAGTTCATCAAGGCTCTCATTCCTCTAGGTCTCGTGCTGGCCCCCAATGCACAAGCTTGTTTGACACACGAAGAGCGATACGGAATCCCCCAGCACACTCTCCAGCGTCGACAGACTACCAACGACAGTGGACTTGCCATTGGGACCGGTGACAGGTTCAATGACGGTACCATCGTACCCAGAGGGTTGGGGACGCAGCCCTGGCAGACCGAGATGGGCGAAATTCTCAGTGTGAAGGAGATCGCAAGTGGTTTCAAGGCCCTGGTGAGGGAGTACAACCTGACTGCCTTCGAGAGTCCCTACACTACTTACGAGAATGCAACTATCTACGGTGCTCAGGTCGGTGGGAACGGCAAGGGTGACTGTTCGGTTCACGCTCTCTTCTCGGCTGCGGCTCATGCCCGAGAGAGAGGAGCCCCTGACAATCTGCTGTACTTCGTTGCAGATCTGCTCTATGCATACAAGAATAAGCAAGGCTTAAGATACGGAGGTCGAGGTTTCACTTTCGAGGAAGTGAGCCAAGTGTACGATGTCGGCCTCGCTTTCATCCCCCTCATCAACCCAGGTCAGTAGCATTCCCCCATCCGCTCGAACATCATAGAACTTGAAACCCATCATCTTTCCATTCCTGTTGAATTTGCCTGAAAAAATATACTGATCTGATGAATAGACGGAGTTGCTTGGGATCAGCAAACCAACACCTGCTGGCGCAAGAACCGCAACCCCGCGGCGGCAAAGCCTGGAGACCCTAACTCCATCGGTGTCGACCTGAACCGCAACTTTGACTTCCTATGGGACTTCAACAAGTACTTTGAGCCTGAAACAGCCAAGTTCGTCGCGTCCAGAAACTCATCTTCCCTGAACTTTTCCGGAGCCGGGCCTGCCTCTGAGCCCGAAACCCAGACCATCGTTTGGGTCCTCGACAAGTTCCCAGCGGTGAGTTGGTTCCTGGACATTCACTCGTTCAACGTCGGTACGGTGTTGTACAACTGGGGCAGCGACGACATGCAGACCACCGACCCGGCCCAGAACTTCCGGAACGACAGCTACAACGCCGTGCGCGGCCTGATGGTGGAGACGGAACCCAACGAGCTCAAGGCCTACCGCGAGTACACCACCCGCCAGCAATGGTCGGACTGGATCTACACCGCGATGCGAATGTGCAACGCCATGGAAGCCGCTTACAACGGCAGCAACTACGTGGCGCAGCAGTCCTCCCACCTGTACCCCACGTCCGGGAGCGCCAACGACTATGTCACCGCGAGGAACATCCTCAACCCGGCCCTGAGCAAGATCAATGGATACACCGTCGAGTTCGGCTTCGGGAACAAGGACATCCCCTCCTGCTATTTCTATCCCAACTCGGAAATCTATCATTCGAACATGTACGAAACGGGCGCCGGGTTCATGGAGTTCCTCCTGACGGCCCGCGAGGTCGGACTCGACGGAGGTGGTAGCTGTTCCGGCATCTGATCGTCTGTACGGGATCTTATTTGCGCGCACGCCGATAAATTTTTTGGCGGAAGTACTCTTTCTGTCACCCGTACAACGAGCTCCTAGTGCAGTATAGGTGTGGTCTAGCACCACCCTTCTAGCTCGGACACAGGCCTATGCTGGGAAATAACTGGGTGAACCACTTTGTAGACCGTCACTTCAATCCACACTACACACATAGCAATTTAGCGCTATGGACCTAATAAAAGCCCTGTCCAGAAATGGTCCTTTTCTTCTTCTTCTCGAATGAGGAAGGGCTCGCAACGAAATCATCTGAAACCCCAAGCATCCATCCATTGTTGACATCGTTGCATACCTCAAACTGAATCACATATCCATCCCCCCAAAACCCCGGGCTAGGAATTCTTAAAACTCGATCATGGTATTACTTTAACTAACCCAGGTAATAGCAAATCCAAGAAGTCAAATAAAATCCGGCTTTACCAAGCGAGCGGGGACGAGTATCTATCTGATCCTCGACTTGGTTACAGATCCCCGCTTCCATCTTCCAAAATGCATAGGTAACGCGCGAGGATATGATCCTTTCTACTACGTATATTTGATCGAGTATATTCAATGTCCAAAGTGCCATTATGGTGTTGCTTGAAAATAGCCGAGAGCACAAGGTTGAAGCCCGGTAAATCCGTATTTTACATTTCACGCCTCGGGTCTGGATGCATGCTTAGCTACATTGATAACCTTAACGATATCGTGGTGGAGTTGGCGTTCCTGATCTACGACTATTTCGGCCCTGACCTCCTGGTTTATTTTCAGCCCTATATCGAGCCTTGTATCAGGCCCTACTATTACGTGCTTCTGCTCTAAAACGCACGTGGCTAGGTCATGTGCATACGCTAATATAAACGAACAGTTGGTTCCTCTTTGAATTAACATTACTATTATATATATATATTACATTACGACGAGTAAACGTCACTTCTTTCTCTTTTCCCTTTCACTTCCGATTCTATCATGATTATATTCTTATACATCCCTTGATTCGCAATCAAGTATATATAAAAGCTCTTTCTTTTATATATATTCAATGACCTACGTAAAAAAGCGAATTGAAGGCGTATGAAGATAACCTTCGATTCGATTCTTTGCGTAAGTTTTCAAATACATATAAAAGGAAAAGCTCTAGCATATATTTAATTGCGCATAAAAGATGTGTAAGATTATAATCATGATAGAATCGAAAGTGAAAAAAGGAAAAGAGAAAGAAGTGACGTTTATTCGTCGTAATATTGTATTATATGTGTATGATGATGATATTAATTCAAGGAAGAACCAACTACTCGTCTGTATAAACGTATGCACATAACTTAGCCACGTGCTTAATAGAGCAAAGACACGTGATAATAGGGCCTGATACAGAAAAGTAATAGGAGCAGGAGGGGGAAGAAGCAGATGTTTGTTAACTATGGAGGGGGGGAAGACTATATACCAGTACCTACCTTAAAGGCAGATAGGGGGTTATTTAAACCGTCAGCTGACAATCCGATGACGGTCTCTTTAAGAGACGATTCCAAGAGGTTGGCATAGCTAGTGGATCACCTTAAGCCGATACTTAAAATTGAGTAGAATCTGAAAACAAACGATTTAAATTATTTAAATCGTAGCTAAAATAAAACTATTTCAATCGATTGAATCGTTTTTTATAAGAGCTCGTTTTTTCGTGAAAAGATTATTACTGAAATAAGACGGTTTTAATCGATTAAATAGTCGTTTATAAAAGTCGGTCTTTTTATAAAAAGACCGTTTTAAGACCGTCTTGGGG